TCCATCAGTAGATAATTCAAGACAAAGGTTTCTATCTTCTGCTCTAAAGTCAGGGTAATCAAAATTAATTTTTTTCTATTGAGAAGAGTTAGGTGGATGTTGAAGCTTTTCATCTTTGATCCATTCATCTGCATGCCATGTTAAATTTGTTGCATTTTCTACACTAGTGTACAACCATCTAAATATAGGTACAATGGGAAAGTACCATAATGCTTTCTCTAAACCCTTCACATTCTCTTTGTAGCATGAGGCATTACATTTTGGACATTCCATTAATGATATATATTTATTTCTAAATAATATACAATCATTAGGATAGGTGTGTATTTTCTCATAACTCATGCTAATTAAGCATAGCATTTGTTTTACCTCATACATAGTCCTTGAAAGCTCGTTATTCATGGGGAGAAGTTGTTTTATAAATGTAAGATTTTCTATAAATCTCTTATCACTCTATCCATTGCTCACTTTTAAGTTATACAATTTCAACACCGCCAACAACTTTGTAAATTCGATGCAACCAGCATATAAGGGCTTCTATGCATCACTCTTCAATATCTCTAACATTTTAGGACAATTCTCAAGTTTCTTTTCAATCACATTGGCTATTTCTTCAAGACAATCACCTTTATAAGTATATGTGCCATAATCATTTGATTCAAACTTCCTTTATATTCATAATTACTAGTACACTTATCGTCTCTACTCTCTTCATGCTTATGCTGACACTTGTAATTTTCATAAATTCCATGGCACACTAAATAGTCTTCCAACTCATATGCACTAATTTGCTTTAAATGACTCCATCTTGCACAAGGGTACATTATTCTTTTAGGATCTTTTACATGCTTGAGAGCAAACTTTATAAACTCTTTCACATCTAAATGCTCTTTACTTAATTGATTGGTAGATAACCATTCTTTATCCATAACTTTAATCTAAAAAAAAATTATTCAAAAAATGTGATCAGTGACTTATAAATATGGAGAGAAAATGAATGATAAAAAGATCATAAAAAATTGACTACTTTACATATAATATAGAGTAATTAATGAATTATGAATCATAATGCATAACGGCATAGAGAAAGTATTTCCTGAGCTCAGACCCCTTTTTCAATCTTGAAATCTCACTTAACAAACTAATTTCAATCATAAACAATCACAATGGTAGCAAAATCCTCACAAAATAACATTTTTAAATCAACTCTAATTATTATAAAATTATATTTAAAATTCTTTAAAAAATCATAGAAAAAGAAAAATATCATAAACATGATTTTTAATCAATGCTTTTTGTCTCATTTGATCATTCTAAGGTTACACATATCCTATATTAGCAATCTCAATCCAAGAAAACATCATTGTTTAGCAAATGTAAAAATCTCAACAAAATAGCATTGATTTTTAGAGAAATCATGCATCAATTTCGATCACCTAAATAAACTTCAATTGTAATGAAATTTGACATAATAGTATATTTCAATATATAGTTTTGAATGATAAAACTACTCTGGTGAAACAAGGCACATAATTTAAATTAAAATTATTCAAATAAATTAGTCAAAGTTTATAAAAAAAATACAATAATTAAAAATATCCCATTTTGATCCTTTATTTTCATCCTTACAATAATTCTAAGGCTACTTAGATCGTTTATTAGCATTCACAAGTCCATAACACATGAAACACAAACAATTTTTGACATCCCACAAATCTAAAATGGGCAATAAATGAACAGAATTTACACAAGAAAAATAAACTAATAAAACTATCTACAACATTAAATAAATCATTCTTATAATCTAAAAATATATGGATAATGGAAGAAAATGAAGAAAAAACAAAGAGATAGCACTTTCAAGCAAAGAGAAAAGAAACCCAAAGAGGAAAAACACAAGATGATGAAAGACAATGAATGATAGCATCGACTTCACATCGAAGCAATCGATGGTAGTCAACGAAAACAATGGAGGAAGAATTTGTGAGTTTTTTCAATTTCATGTGCAAGTGGAGAAAAGAAAAAAACAGAAGACAATCAAGCGTGAACTAAAAAAAAAAAGCAGAACTATTAATTAAAAGGGAATAAATAACAATTGTTTAAATAATTGTCATTTATTCCAACAAACATGATAGATATTTAAGACACTCATCATATATGTGCAGTACTTTAAATGACAGGTGTGTAAAACACCCATCATTTAATATCCAATTTTTTTTAATAAAAAATTGAAATGTTGAGAATCAATAAATGACAGGTGTGTCTAACACATCTCATATACTTATAGAGCTTTAAATGATGGGTGTAAAACACCTGTCATTTAAAGTTTACTATTTTTCTTTTTTTTTAATATTAAAAAACTAAAACGTTGTAAGTTTTAAATGAGGGGTGTTTTAAACACCTATCATTTAAGTCATATATTGTCCAACCATCATCTACCTCACCATTATTTGACTTTTTTTTAACTGTCATTTTTTTTTACCATCTTATATCCAGAATTTTGTAGTAGTGATTATTTGGGTTAAAAAACCAATTCAAAGACTTAAAAAAAAAACAAAAAACAAGATATAGTATAAAGCACCAAATTAATAAAAAATAAATTGATTAGATGACTAATTTGTTCTCATTTTTCAAAACATGAGAAAAAATTAGCTACATAAATATATCAATTCATTGAGATACTTCAAATATTAGATTAATTTAAGAAATAATTTGTGTTTTAAAACTTAAAGAATTATATATCAAGTCATTGCTGTATTGTCTGCTTCAGTCACACTTTTGGGTCCAAGGCTTTAAGCAAAGGCCATGACCCAATTCGCCCCTTTTTGTTTGATCTGAAAGGCAGTAAAAAAAAAAGCCGTTTTGTTTGTGGATACCAAAAAAAAAAAAAAAACCTCTCTTCTCATATGCTTCGTTCTCATACTGATTCCACTTAGTTGTCATAAATGGATTTCGTTGTCCCTTTTTCCTGTGGATTTTGTCGACTTCTTCTATCAAAAATACATTTACTAGGCTGAAATTTTGTCAATTTTGTCGAGCAACTAAGGGGCACAGGATTTGATTTGGTAGAATCATAGAAGTGTAAAAACTGACAGATTTCTTTTTTTATTTTTGAATAAAATTGAATATTAATAATTAACAACTAAACAAAGTACAGAATAGTTGACAAAAATTAAATAAATACTAGGCTTATCCTCCATCCCCAAAATTAGGAAATGGATGATGATTAAAGAAGCAAAAACTATTATCCAAGGTTGTCCAATAATCTAGTGAGAAAATCTGCATTCCTATTTTTGTCCCTCTCAATGTGCTTAAAAATAATTCTACCCTCTCTACAGATGAAGGTTTTTAACTTCTTCAACCAAGTTCTAAAAAAAGTAGTTGTAATCACACCCGTTCAAAGCCAAATTCATGGCCTCAATGTAATTAAAGAAAACTTCTATATGATAGATTTTTCTTACCCAACACTGGTGTAGGCCTTGTTTGATACCAATAAGCTCAACTATGACTAGAGGAGCTGAAGCAAGTTGGTAGATAAATCCACAAATCCAATTATTATTCCTATCTCACAAGATCCCACCACATCCACTACTCTCATTGTTTGTAACAAAGCCATCAACGTGGAGTTGAAAGAGGTCCACATTATCTATCCTTGATCCTTTCTAATTCTTATTGTAAGGAGCAACTGTTAACTAGGTCTATATCAATATAAGCTCTAAAGAAACTAGAGCTACCATAATTAGGAATACAAACAGGGTCTAAGTCAAATAAAATGCTACACCAACTAACCCAAATGTCCCAACATATATATATATATATATATCCAAACAATGTTGCCCAAGAGATTTTCCTTGTGAAGGCTTAACTTGATTCATGTTTCAAATTTTATTTGACCCAATTCACTCTTTGAAGTGAAAAGAAACTCCCTTGAGCATTTTCTTTAAGAACAAATTTTCAATAATTGACTGCATTAGTACAATCACAAAAAAAATGCATCAAATCCTCATTCTAGTTGCATCTAACTGGACACCTATTACTAGACTGGATCCCTCTCTATGTACAAAGCACCATAGTATGAGCTTTATCATTTTCAAATTAGTTTCCAAACATTATCTTATTGTTGAGGGGCACCTTCAAAAAGAAAATCATGCACAAATTCAACAACTGATATAATTTTCTTTTTTTATAACAATTGGTATTTCATTTTCTAATTTATTTTTCACAAAAACTGACAGATTTTAGCACAAGTAATCTTTTAAATTTATAACAATCAATAGTTCATTTTTTTAAAATTTAATTTTAGTTGATTTTATTTAAGTTAATACAAATTTTAATTTAATATAAGATTGATCTAATATAATTTAATAAATATTAATATAAAATTTATGATATTTTTTCTATAATTATTAAGTTCGTGTATTTATAAAAGATGAATTATTATTTTTTCAAAATTTGTATTTTATTCCTAATAAATGTTCAATATATTTGTATATAATATAAACATTTGAAAAATAATACTTCTTTCGTTCAAAAATAAAAGATATTTTTAAAAAATTGAATGTTCAAAAATATAAAGTATTTTGAGTCTTTTAAGATATAATCATCACTTTTTTTAAGTACCCCTATTAAATAGATTATTATATATTTTTGTAGGGTGAAACACTTTATAAAATAGGGGTAAATATGAAAAGATAAGATTAATTTAAAAATAAATAACTACTTTATTGGAGTGAAATTTAATTAAAAATACTTTACATTTTTCAACAGAGGAAATTGTTATTTTATCATTTCATAATTTTTATTTATTTTTAATTATTATTTTTTCATGTATATTTATGTTAATATATGGTTTTAATCAATTTTATTTTCATAGTCAATTTCATTTATCTCCTCAAATTCTATTCAAGGTTAATTATTTGGAAAAAAAAATAGCATTAGAAAATTATAAAAACAAATGAGAATGAGGCAATTAGCCCCTACCAAATTCTTCCTAAAATTAATTATGATGAAACCCTTTCTCGTTAGCGGAGCCAGTTCTGTCTGTCGACGAAGTGACGAACAAGCATTCCTTACTCTGTGGGACGCCGTCCACCATTGTCAGCCCTCTGTGGTTGTTCTCGGGCAAGCAGTGAAGAAAATACGAACCCTAGGGATTTTTTAACGACCACGGTGAGTTTGATTTGCTCAATCTGGTGTTTTGAATCTTGATTTGAATTTTTCTCCGCGTCTTCTGTTCCCGCTGTTCTTGTTTTGTTTTAAACTCTTCATTTTAATTTGGCTTTGGGTGTTTGCTCGAATGGAGTGTAATTGGCTATTATACTTCTTCCCTCTTCATTTTGATTTCTGGCGAGTTTTTTTTCCCCCTTTTGCAATGTTGGATTTGTTGTGTTTTGACATTCTGTTTATTAATCGTTTTATATTATAATAAAATTTTGAAATTCTCAAGTTACTTGTGATCTATGATCTTGTAAATGACTTGCCACGAGTTGTGTCGAAGTATCTGAAACAAAAATTAAAAGGACATTGTATCCCAATGTTGTGCTATAGGTCCGCCTGTGGATTGGTATTCTCTTATATGAATTCGAACTCTGATTGGAATTAAACCTATGATTGGTATAATCAGTTTTTATTCTCATATATTGATTCGGCAATAGCATCAACTCTGTGTTTTATTGTATCTGTGAAATGGTTTTATGGGGAAAATATCCTAAACAGGTTGGGGAGTATTGTTGGTGTATGTAAAATGGTTTAAGATAACATATTGGGAAGTACATACAATCCTATAGAGTGAAATTGGCAGCTTGGAATTTGCCTCCATGATTGCAGATAACCAGAATAGAAAAGGATGAAGAAAGAAAGAATGGAAAAATCAGAGGAAAGAAACGCAACCAAAATCATGACATTGACAGCCATATTTATGGATCATATGTAGATTACACAAACAAGCATGAATTTTGACACTCCCTTGTTTCCCTTTCTGGCCTACTTTAGTAGAAGAGTTTCATCTTGTAGTTATAGATCTCTTGAGGAGACTGTGCAAAGGAGAATTAGTTTATAGAACGCACAGACCTGTTGATGTTGAGTGAAGATTGGTTGCTGGGGAATTCTGCATAATAATCTGGGCATTGTAGAAACTGCAAAATCTTGCAACTCTATGTAGCAACAAAAAATCAACAACAATGAGGATAAGTTGGCAGACAAGCAGTGAAATACTTAAAAAGGGATAGAACACTGAAATTCTTTAGATGAAGAACATGTCAATCAGAAATTAGCTTCAGACACCGTGTTTTATTACTGGAGGATTTCATTCTATATCTCAATTATTGCTTTAATCAAGGGAAAAGGGCTTTTCCATGTCACCATTCATTAAAACAAAAATGCACTTTTGGCTTGCAAGTTATCATTTTGACGAGCTAAAACATAAATTGGAAAAGGATTTGATTTGTTAAAAAAAGATTTTGTTTGTTACATTTAGTCATTTGACCCATTTACACATAAATTGGAAAGTGCATTTTCCATGTGTCCTAGACTAATTCTTTGAACTCTGTGAACTGTATTAGAAACACAATAGCTTTGACCCCAAAAAGACCACTTATATGTATAAATGATACAGGGTTTTGTTTGCCCCGCTACATGTAAAGAAAGCTTCCTATAAAATTCTGCCCTTTTTAGTATATTGTGGATTTCTGCTTGGCCTCAAAGACAGTGTTATTTGGAATTTGTATACTGATATGCTTTAAGAAATTCAACCTGCATTGCTGTCCACTGATGGTACCTTTGGCTTCTTGTACATCGGATAAATTTGATGTGATTTTACGCAAGTTGAAAACTTTGATCATGGAGTTTAGTCATTTGAATCCTCATGTCGAAGGATGGTAAGGTATACATCTGGCACCTCAGTAAATATTTGTTGGCTTGTAAAAATTTGTGTGAGAAATAAGTAAAAGATGTCTCATTACTTAATGTCCAACCTTGGACACAATGGCCCATCTATATGATCGCTCCCGCAAGTGTACGAGATCTCAGTAATAAATTATCCAGAGTATTTCAAGTGTTGAACCCACGGAGAAGTTACACTTTTACTGATTTAAATAATTAATAGTTCAAGAAAAAATAGATAAAATGAATAATTTTGATGAAAATATAAAAATAAATCAAGAAAATAATGATGATGAAAACACAATCACTTGAAGCGTTGGGATTTAGGATTCATCCTACAGGTTGCTAGTTCTACCTTTGAGTTGACTCTGATCAATTATAGTGACAACTATTCCTAAAATATCCTAATGTTCTCCTAAATTATTAGTTCCTTTTTAATTGGCGTTGAATTCGTTCCCACGATACCCAAGCAACTAATTAAACTATGAAGCTATAGTTTAAGTCACTACAAATTTCTAGAACTATTTCTAGGTTAGTTATTTATATTTATTTTTCTAGATCTAGATTCTCTCTTCACCTCCCAGTCCATCAAGATTATCCATAGATTTGATTAAATGGTGGCCAGTCATTAAATCAATATAAAGAACAAGAGAAATAAATATAATTGGAAAAAGCAAAAATATTCATAAATACAAATACAAAGAGTCAAAACAAGTAAAATAGAAAAGTAGCTCCTCATTTGGGCTACATCCTTACCCTAATTGGGTAATTTAGAAACACATAATAAAATTAAATAACACCATTATAAAATTCCTAATCATGAAAAATGGTCGCAGAGAAAATTAAGGAGTAAAAAGAAATAATTATAAATTGTAGAACTCCGCAACAATTTTACTTTCAGCTTTCAAAATGCTTCTATGGGCTCCGAATATCTCGGAGAGAATTTTTGAGGTACTCAGATAAGTGATTGGATGCTTTTCCCTCTTGATGGAGGGAATATTTATAATCAAAGTGGAAGCTCCTTCTTTTTTTCCTTGTCGATGTGAAACTCTAATATATATATATATATATAATATTTTATCTTTTGCTGTGCCCTTTTTCCTTCTTTTGAAAATCATGTCCTGTACGTCATCTTCCTAGAATATTTAGTCTCCATGTATATATTTATATCCTTGTGACACTAGCTTCCCACGTTCCCTTCCTTTATATATTATATCTATATATATATATTTCTCTTTTCTTTTTTTCTTCTTCTATCTGGTTTATATTTTTTTCTCTGCAAAATGTAAATTTTGTATTAAAATTCCTTTCTATCTTATAATTCAGTGATCAGAGAAAAATATATAAGTATTAATTAAATAGATATGAAATCTTAATAAATATAATCAAATCCAAACCAAAGTCTACACCTATTTAATTGTAAAATATGCACTTATCACTATATGTATGTTTTTTCTTGGGGATTCTGCAACCTATCTGATTATGTCCCAGGAGAATTATGTTCACCACTCTAGACTTTAGGTCTTTGAAAAGAAGTTGTGTTTAATTTATCATGTACTGTAAATTTTTCTTGTATCAGTTGTACCAGTGACTGGGCATGGTGGCTTACGTTTTCTTTTTCTTTTTTCGGGTTAATATGGGAGCTTGCTTAACTTATACTGAGAGCACAGAAAAATGTTAGATGAAGAACATCGTGAACCGCTTGAAATATTTTCATTCCTGACATCTCTTCTCATGCTTGAATTTCAAGTATACTAGAGAGGGTTGTGTGTTTTGGCTCAGATTTGGATTTATATTCTCTGGCCTTGTTTTTATGTTGACACTACCTTAACCGCTCAGATTCTTGTAATTTGCCCTCATGGGAGGTTGTGCAGCACAATGAATAATTATACATACATACATACATACATACATACATACATACATATATTCTAGAACCTTCTTTATTTATTTCAATTTATGAATGTATTTAATGTTTTTCTGAAGTGAGATGTCAAATATTTGGACAAGTAACTGATTGTTCTTAATGACATTGAACGTGCCCCATCACTTACACTTTGTTCTCTTTATTCAGAATTTGCCATCTCATCCTGAAGTATGACAGAGTAGTTTATCGGAATCAACTCAAACAGGTTAGAGTAATAGCTATCATTAAATGGAAGCATCAACAAGAACTCTAGCAGATGATGATTGCGCTTTGAATGGAGGCTGGACAGTTGTGATACCCCGCCGCGGAAGGCAAAGGAAAAGGTCTAATAAAGTTGAAAGGTTGACAGAAACACAAGAACCATGGGCTCCAACAGATGAACAAATTGATCCCTCGAATGAAAAAGCGTTGATGCAAAAAATGGAAAGGAGCATAAATAAAGTTGAGAGCTCTCAGTTCTATCATAGTTTTCGAGATCAGCTGCAGACCCCACCAGTTTCAGAACACTTACACAAGGTTTTGGGATCAGAGTCAAAGATGCAAATGGTAATTTATGGTATTGGCAGCCTTGAATCATATGAGCCGCCTCGATTGCAGCTTAGTTTAGCAATATTAATGAAAAAAGATTTTAAATGGATTGGAGAAATCGAGGTATTTGATCCTGTTCTTTCTGCAACTGAATCTCGGATTTTGAAAGCTCTGAATTGTTCTGTCTTATCAGTCAATGAACATGGAAGGAGGCAAGTTTTAAAGCCAACTATGTTCTTCATGCCACATTGTGAGGCAGAGTTATACAACAACCTCTTACAAGCGAATTGGAAATTGAATCTATTAGGTAACATGGTCTTGTTTGGGAACAGCTTTGAAACATACAAGCAAGTTTCAGAGTTTAACTCACCTGTTTTGGATTCAATGGGATATATTTTGTCTGCTCGAAAATTTGCAAATGAGTTTAAAGTAAAAACTATTTCTGATGACTATTTTAATGCTTTTCATGACTCAAGTTGGCATTTTTTCAGCCCTAATGTAGAGACTGAGCTGCAATTTATGAATTATTGATCGAGATTATTGGTAGGCATAGGAAAGGACTGTATTCTAGTGTTGTTTTGTACCATTTTGACGTTTAATTAGCTAAGAAAATGTGAGAAATATCTGTGTAATATAAAAGAAATATATTTGAATTGTTCTCTTTTTTATTTAACTTTTTGGGTAGAAAAATGTTCTCTTTATTTGGTACTTATGCCTAAGATTTTGTTCTCTCAAATATTAATCACTGTTGTATTAATCATTGGATGTGTATTTCTATTGCAGCTTCCTTTTTTTTCCCCCTTGCGCTTGACATTTTTAAGCTTATATTAATTGTTGAATTGAAATTTAAGTCTATGAAACGTGCTTTATCTCAGTTTCACCTCAAAACTCAAGAGTTTATTTTAAAATGTAATGTATTTTAATATTATTTTATTTTCACCGTAAACCTGATTAAAGACGTGGATGGTGTAGTTTATTGTAAAGTTTATGGAATTCTTAATGGTTGGGAGTCAACAAAAAATATATTTCATCTGCCCCATTTTATAAGATTTTTTTTTTTGAATGATTTGACATTCCATGATATAAGTTGCAATGAGAAAATTCATTAATGAAGTTTATTTCAAAATTACTTCTTTTTTTTCATTTTTTGAATATATGTTTTCATTCTCAAATTAAATAAAAGATATTTTTAATAATTTATATTTTTCATTCTTTAAAATTCCAAATTATATTTAATCAATTTTATTACTATATATAATATATAAAAAATTGTCTTAAAAACGGGGTGGGAAAATATTATATTAGATGATCACATCACCTAGAGTGAAGATGACGTTGCGTTCTTGACTCTTCAATGGCTAATTTGATGCATTGTATTTCCAACAACTAAAATACAAAATTATTTTTTACAAAAATTGCACACATATTTTTCAAAGAAAGATTAAAAAAGATTTGATTGTAAAAATTTTAATCCCTTTGGTCACTGCATTGTATTTCTTCCAGTCTTTTAATTCTTATAGTTCATCACTTTTTATGTTTAGTCCTTATAATTTTTTAATATTTTTAATCTTTATAATTTTAATAAAATCAAGTAACATTTGTTACTCATATCCTTGATGATGGTATAGGGACTATAAAAATTAAAAACACTAAAAATAAATTACGAAGATTAAAAACAAAACTCAATAAAATTATAAAAGCTAATAATTATGTTTTTCTTTTCTAATTCTATTTTTATTATCAAACAGATAAAGTTAGGAAATATTAATTCCACGTAAAGTTTGATTAAAATATATTGTGGACCTACCAAGTTTTTACTGATAAAGTTTAAGGAGGTCCGGGCATTGAGGTATTCTCTGGAAGCTTCCCCACACCTAATTTCCCAGAAAGGGCCATATTTGATCGACTTTTATTCATTAGTTAATAATTGTTATTATTAATGTTTAAAATCTACTGTTACGGTAAAGTAAATTATTATTATTGTTAAATAACGCAAAAGTCTCTGTTAAGCTGTTCACGACTTATATGTCATTGTAATTATAACAACATTTTGAACTTACTACATTCAATATGAGTGTAGTATATTGTTAAATTCGTATTCCATAGTCTCAAATTGGGATTTACTTGAACGGTTATGATTTTTGTGGGATAAATTTGAAATATTAAAAAAGATTATTTCTTTTAAGCACATTCATCCTGTTCCCTAATTATTTTTGGGACATAATTGTCTTGACATTTTATTCTCAACTTATGATCTTATATTATAATTTAACACTTAATTTAATTTAGTGTAAAATATTCATAAGATGTGGAACATAAGAATTCAGTTTCCAAAATTCTGTTGTAAATGCGTTGACAAAAAAAATTAATAACGGATATATTCTCTCTTTTTTTTTTGGGCCAAAGGTATGTTCTATTTCCTTTTTCTTCACTTGAAATTGGATGCAGATCATATGTACTGCCTTTTTGGATATGCCAAAAAATCAATTTGTTGGACCAAAATTAATTTTTTAGTTAAAGTTATTCAAACACTCAAAAATTTAAGAATTAATTATTGAGTCAAAATCACATTTTAAAATAACTTTGAGAACTTACTTATAAATTTAATTTTATTATTAAATAATATATTTTAGTTCTTAAATAAATTTTAAAAAATTTAATAATATTAAATACAACTTTATTAATAATTTAATTTTTAAAAGTAATGTCTTTTATGATAATTTATATAGTTAAAATTAATTTTATTATTCAAACAGATTACATTATAATATAATTAATTTTAATTATTAATTAATTATTTTTATAATTAATTGTATTTAATTGAAATTCAAACGAGTTTATAGTGATTTTTTTGCGCAGTAATTAGAAAATGAATAATCATAGCCGTGTATTTCATCCTATGACTAAAAAGAGTTTGTAAAGTACACAATCACCATCATCTCGTCTTCCCATGATACGCTGCAGATCACACCTCTGAATGCAAAGCTCTTATTAAAGGTGGCTAATCAACAGCCACAAGTTCGTTTTCATCATCATCTTCTCCACAGAAATCATATACATCACAAGAACCTTCAATCTGCAAAAATCATCTTCGCTTATGGGTAATTATGAGTATAACATTTTAAATTTTCAAACTTATTTTTTATAAATTAATAGTTTAATAAATTATTTTATAAAGAATAATCATTTAGTGCTTCATGTGTTTACTTCAGTTACAATTTTAAAAACATGATCGATGACCAACACCTTACAAATAGAGCCGGGAATAAGGGCCGGGCTTGGAGGGTCGGGCTTGAAAGCCTTGTTTAAATAAGGGTTCGGGCTTTGAAAATAAATTTTTTTTAAAGTAATCGGGTTTGAGGGCTTGGCCCTGATAAGCCCTGTAAAATAGGGCTCGGGCCCGGGCTGCCCTTCAAGCCCTGTTATATTATTTTTATTATTATTTTTTTTAGTAAAACACGTGTTTGAAATCAATGACCTGCTCACCTGATCCTACACACATTATATTATTATTAATTTTAATTTATTCTAAAATTAATTTAATCTAATTTAATAAATATCAGTGTACAGTATAAAATTTATGATATTTTTTATTTTTCTATAATTATTATGTTTGTATATTTATAAAAAAATGAACTATTTTTTAAATGAAGATTTAAATTTTATTACTAGACTTCTAATGTATGTTATTTAATTTTTAAAAAATTATGATGATTTTAATTTTTTTAATTTTAAAATATTTTAATTTATTTATAATGTTTAATTTTATTTTAATTTTTTTATTTTTTAAGAAAGGGCTTACGAGCCTGGCCCTGAACCCTGAGTATAAGGGCCGGGTTTGAGAAATGGGGGTCAAAATAGGAAACCGGCCTTTAGGGCTCAGGCCCATAAGGGCTAAGCCTATAAGGGCCAGGCCCTTAAGGGCTGGGCCCGCTCCCAGCTCTACTTACAAACTAAGGTTTTTTTTTTACTACTAGCAATGCGCAACTCGGGCCAAAACAAAAAAGTTCTTCAAACACTGATTAGCACCCAGATAAAACTATTACATAGGGGTACACTTGATTATAATATTAATTTACAAATTACTTTACAAATACCAAGACCATAAGGAACTGACAGAATTCTCATAACATAATATTTAAATCAAATCAAAGACTAAGAGGAATAGACAAAATCATTTTGGTATATAAGATGCAATAATTCATAAATAAAGTTTGCATGCTTACACACACACATATTTTCATCACAAGTTGGCAGAATATACATCATTAAACAAAAATAAAAAGGCTAAATTAGAAAATAGTCTCTCATATGCCAAATCATGCTTCAAATATTTCTCCAGCCAAACTCATTCGTGTAAAAATTAATAACCACAGGAAATGATATTTAAAAATTTCAATAACTAAGATTAATATAAAATAATGCACGTGTGACAATTAACAATATGATTATTAAGTGGGCAAACAAAACATTTATCCAAACAATTATTTCCAAACAAATCAAGCAATGATTTAATTTGCATGACCACACCTTATATCCCTTTTTACATCATGCTTAGAAGGCAAGTTAGTCGGTTAAAAGTGAGTTGGACTAAGTCAAAAGCCACTCATTGAGTTCAATGAGAGCTTACCATGTGATAACTTAATCAAACAAAATTCCTACCAAACAACTTTCAATACACTCCATCTGACAAGTCATGCATTTATAACATCCAAACAAAATTACATGGTACATTATTTCTATCAACTAGATAATTTATCTCATATTTTTAACAATGTCAATATTCACAAAATATTGATAAATATAAATCTCACCCAATTGGCAATTATTTATAGATAAAAATATCCATATATATTATTTCTCAATAAAAATTAAGATTTTCAAATAGCAAAACAAACACATAATTAAACACACACACACTATTACACATTAAGAATAGTCACCTCATGTTTTGGACAATATGTTTTCCTTTACAACAGTACTTCCTCCATTTCCTTGGTTAACACAATTTACACAATCATTTAATAATATGTACATAATCTTAATTTGATAATTATTAACAATAATTAACTTTAATTATAGAGTTAGGGAGTCTAGGCCTGGCCCATACTTGCTATGCTTGGCTCGCAAAGAAAAATAAAAAAGAGAAAAAATAAGAAGGATATAATTTTCTCTTATTATGCTTAGCTGAGCGGGAGAAAACTATAGGGATAGAAAAATTATTAATTTTATATGGACAATAATAACCTTATTATTTATAAAATATTTATGTAATAAAATTTAATATTTTAATATATTATATATAAAATAATCTTTATCATATATTATTAATTGAAAAAAAACATAATTAAATATTCTTTTATCTAATACTGATAAAAATTATTTTATTCAATTTAAAATTTTATTTATTAAATTATTAAATATATAATAATCTTAAAATTTGAAACCACAATCAAATAAAAGGTACTTAGCTGAAAATTTAGAATTAACATTTGTTTAATTAGTCTAAAAATTAAATATACTGCTTGGTTTACAAAAATTCATGATCAAAATGTAATTATATTACAAATATCATGATAAAAAGAAAAGAAAAGCAAGAGGTGGCAACAAAAAAATTAGTGGGTAAATTTAGAAATACAATTTTCTCTCCAAAATTTTTTCATATTTGTAGAGAAAAGTTAGAGGTAAAAACATGTGAATCTCAATGTTATTATCAACAATAATTAACTCTAATTACATAGCCAAGCAAGGAAAAATGAT